GAAGGGATACGGAAAGGATCGAAGTCAACCCAAAAAAGAAAAATATTAAATCTGTTCAGAGTAAATTCAAAATGTCGGAGTGTCGTAGCATAGCTACGGATGATAATGAATATGTTGCCATTCACATATTTACAGTTGTAAATGCTGTATGTTGGTGGGCAGTTGGAGATTCATTGTGGAATTCGCTAGACTCAATTCTATCAGCTGACTACTACTTCTACGCGCCGCTGGCGAATCTTATATGTGTTGTTTTTCTCCTAAGTATTATCGTTCATTACCAAACTTCGTGTGATTATATTGTTCATTAACCTTCCCTAGGTTACAACAGTTCTATACACACTTGTAGAGCCGCCAGTAACACCTAGAACCAAACTTGTGAGAGGCTATACGGTGTCCCAGTCTATAAGCAAATAGTGACTTTGCTTCTTGGAAGACACGCTTGCACTCATTTACGAGCAGTGACAAAGGTACGTCTGTAACAATCAGACTTGTTGCTCTAGTATAGCCGAAGAAAGTGATTCCTATGGGCGATAGCGAATGAGAATACAGGTGAGAACCAGGGTGACGATTGTGGTTTTACTTGGCATTTTTGAACTGGAACGAAAGCTTCGATGTCAATCTTCACCCAGTGGTCGGCAGTTGGAGATGTGGAATTCATTTGACTCACTTCTAGCAATTGACTACTTTTTCTACGCGCCTCTGGCAAATCTTATGTGTTGTTCGTGTCCTTATTGTCGTTCATTGCCAACCTTCGTTTGATTATTCTATTCATTAAACATCCCTTTGTTAGAACATGACCTTAGGTTTCTGGTAGTGAGTCTGAAAGAAATAAGTACACACCAGAAATCAAAGGAAATAATAATAATAATAATAATTACAATAATAATAATGGGCACTCATATCTGAGTATGTCTATCTGTTAGGACTGCTAGTCAAATTCCGTAGCAGATGCCTCCTCAGGCACATTTATGTTTCTTCAAAATCCCCAATGTCCACCTGTGGTTTATACTGCAGATTTGCTTAGCTGGCCATAGTTACAGATTCAGAGAGTACGCTAAAACCCTCTGTTACGATGACCTGGACTAGCCCAACCAAAAATGATGCTGTTCGTCTGCCCAAGTTCATCGAAAACCCTTGGGTCAAACTTTCCAATGATTCCTCAAGCAGATGGGATAAAATTCACTTCACTCACAAATCGACTACAGTAATATTGGAAACCGTGCCTCATGGTCACGACGTAGACATTCAAATCACTCAGCTCTGCCCCAATCTTTCATTTACTGTTACAGAATTCGAAGGCCAGAGCCAGAATAATCATCGATTATATATATATATATATATATATATATATATATATATATATATATATATATATATGAAAATGTTCCGATTTAACCAGCAGAGAAGACAATATTTATGAATAAAAATTTAATATATAAAATTTTCGTATTTTTGCTTTGATAAAGTCCACATTGGACGAAAAACGTCAGCAATTACCAGTTTTCCTATTGTCATTTATATTCATATATATTTTTTTTATTCATATATATATATATATATATATATATATATATATATATATGGAGGAGGCACGGTGGAGTAATGGATAGCGGCTTGGATTGAAGAATCAAATTCCAGTCGAATCCATTACATTCACTTACGTACTAATACCCTTGGTAAAGGTGTGTGAATCCTCTTCTTCTCCCTCCAGCTATGAGTAGCAGGACAGACTGGGTTCTATAGCCTTGGATGACAACTGGTCTAGGAGAAGGACAACTCCTAATTCAAAACCTGCAGAGGATCGTTTGGGGACCTTGTGGCACGTAGTGCACCAGGACTCTGTAATCGGCACTTCAAAAAGTGTGGATGGTCCTGCACGAAACCTTCACCACTCATGTGTTGTTGTCGGGCTGTCGGTTTCCTAGGAACTGATCAGCTTAAGCCCCATACGTCGAATTCGACAGGAGAGTCGAGTATATACATATATATATATATATATATATATATATATATATATATATATATATATTAATAAATATACATATACCTACGTTTGTAGTTCAACTTAGTTTCATGATTTTCCAAATTGTCAGGAATGAACTGGTCAATGGAACTCTTATTACAGTTGTTTTTTTTTTTTTAATTAAACGCAGATTCAAATCTCAAAGTTAATATAAACTTAATATATTATTAGGGTATAATTTAAAAATGTAGAGTGTAGGTAGGTTGAGTGTGGGTAGGGGGATATTGGGAAAAAATCTAAGCTTAAAGTTTAAGAGAAACGCCGTGTAGCTCCTTATCTATTAAGAGACGCTTAAATGCTTTATGGGAGCTAATTTGTATCTAACCTAAAATATGTAATGGCCATGTGATATATAAATTTCGCCAAAGACGACTAAGAAGGTACTAGGATTAAGCTTATTATTTAATTTTTCTTATGTTGTAAATATAATGTTTTCTTTTCCTAACAAAAGTTTGTAAATATTGTCCAAATTTTCTGTATATACGAGCGCTTTTGGCTATTCTTTTAGCCATTATCAGGGGTGATGTTTGGGTTTGTAATGACTGTGTCCGAAGTTATAGGAATGTTTTATTGTCCAAACACGGTCAGAAAGTTGTGGCTGTGTTCATAGTTCATGTTATTGAGTGCTGGTTTTTCCTTTTTTATCATTAGTGCTTCGATTATATTTAATCGTTTTATTTTATATGTAGGTAAGGCTATTATACTTGTATTTTCTACTAGTATGTTGTAGATGGAGTTTGGTATGTTTATAAACGAGTCCTAATTAAGCTATGATCCGTTATGTGTAACGTGAGACGTCTGGATATGCATGTCGTAGTATATACCATTATAATTATTTATGAGTTTGGTTTGATCAAGAACACAGTTCATTAAAGGGCATTTGAACTTGTAAATAATACTGATTCTTTGTCATTTTCATTTTGCAGATGTTAGTTATTTTATATGATAAGGTTATATGTTACATTTTTCTTGTTCAGATCGACTGGGGTTATGTATTTCTTTATGATATTTCTAAGAGAAAATTCATCTTACTTATAGTTAACGTGCATTTGGCTTTCATAGATGTCACTGTTATTGTCTTTATCCGTATGTTCAGCATCGCTGTTAGTTACTTTAGAAAGAAATAATCTCATCTGTTGGTCGATGAGATAGGAAAACTATTGTTAACTAGCGTCTGTTTCACATAATTGAATTCTTTAAAGAAAAGGGGACAAAGAGGATGTATTCTCGTCTGCTGTCTTGAGGAAATTTTAAAAAAAAATATTTTATATCTAAGTGGGTATTCACTCTTAAAATTAAGGTGACTAGAATATCTCCTAATGTTTTTATTGTATAATGAACTGGAGGATGTATTATTACTGAATTCTACGTAATCGTCTAAGAATTAAAATTTATTTTTTGACCAAGTTGATAGATAAAGTAAACGAAACGTTTTTTCGAATGTGGTTTTGAGATTGTCAATTTCTTGTTTGTTTTTCGCTAAAATAAAAATATCGTCTACAGGGTGGACATATAATTTTGGGTTTAGCAACATTTTTAAATATTGTATTTCTACGTGGTACATTTAGTTATTGAAGGATTCTTGTTGAAACTTGACTAATGCATGGAATAAACATGCAGCACAAAATGTACTTAGAACAAAATGTATTGAAACAAGAAAGTGTACACAATATTTACATATAGTCTTTTGTATATTCCTGGTAAGACCGTTCCTGGAGAATGTGTTGACTGAGTCGCAGTCGGGCAGAGTCTCTGGTTGAATCTCTTGATTCCTCACTCTCTTCCCGGTACCAACCATATTTATATGGTCGGTACTCCACTATGCAAATTAGGTGGATCCTACCACAACAATTCTATATCCTAAGACACGCATAACACACACACACACATTCAGTTAAAAATAAAATAAAATCATCCTTCATAATGACTAAAAGAATAGCCGAATGCGCTCGGATATGTATAACTTTACATCTTTTATTCCACAATTTTTTTCCAGAAAAGAAAAGTAAAATAAAAGACTAATTCGCAGTCAATCAGCCGTCTTTAACGAAACTTGTATAAAAGAGGGATTGCTACCCAAATATACAATTGTCATATATGTATCTGGGGTTGGGGGTATGCTTGTACGTATAGGGAGGGAAGTGTGTGATTGTGTGCGTGCCTATATATATATATATATATATATATATATATATATATAAGAGAGAGAGAGAGCGGAGAGAGAGAGCGGAGAAGAAGAAGAAAGAAAAAAGAGAGAAAAATGAACCGAAGAAAAGACAGACGATATGTAGATATGTAAATAAGAATAGAGAAAATATATATATATATATATATATATATATATATATATATATATATATATATATATATATATATAAGAAAGAAAGAACTAAAAAGAAAAATATCGATTAGGAGGAAATATATATGAGAAGAAAAAGAAATAAGAGAAAAACACACAAACAACCAACCAAAATACAGAGATGAAGAGAAAGCAATAAACAAAAGAAGATAGAAAGATTATATAAAAAAAAAACTGTAAACAATAGAGAAAGTATATAATAACATTTACCACAAATGTCGCACGAAAAAAAATGAAATATTTCGAAAATAGAGAGAGATGATTGATATAAGATCATCTTCATTTTAGTCTGACAGTCTTTTGCATAATCAATGTAGACTTTCCTGTTTTGTTTTGATAAATGAAATGTTCTTTTTATCAGATATGTTAATTTAAAATGTCAGTTTTAATGAGCGTCAATACGCAAATAAGTTTCAAACAAAACATCTTGTTGAGACTAAACAAGAGGGTTAAGAATTAAGAACCCTGATAATCACACACATACACAACAAACGACTCGTTTGTGAACTAATCTATAAATGATGACGGAAAAGCATTTAACTCAAATCAATATGATATCAATGAAAGCGTACTGGCAAATTGTAGCAAAATATTAAATTAGGAAAAGCGGGTAGAAACATGAAAGAAAGAAAGAAAGAAAGAAAGAAAGAAAGAAAGAAAGAAAGAAAGAAAGAACGAAGGAAGAGCGAAAAACATTAAGAGAAAGAAGAAACAGGAAACAAAAAAAAAGAAGTAAAGATAAAAATTTGAGAGAGAGGAAAGGAGAACTTGAAAAAAATGAAAAAAAGTGGAAAATAAAAAATAAAAAGATAGAACAATGGTGTTAGGGAAAAGTGTTGAGGAAAGAATAAAAATGGACGAGAAAAATGCAGGACATGTGACGGAAAGAAAGAAAGACAGAAACTGACAGAAATAAAGTTAAAGATAAGGAAATCGACGAAAAGAAAGTCTATAAGAGGGTAAAAGAAATCATTAGAACAGGAAAATAACAAAAGAAGGAAAGAAAGAATTAACGAACGAAAGCAAATGAGAAAAATGAAAATATTTTGCTGATAAAGATACTGGGAAAACGAGTCAAAAATGGAAAAAAATAATGAAAGAAAGTTGAATTGAAATAGTTCTTTCTCTTTATTTTCGCTTTATTTTTCCGCTTTTTTCATTATTCTTTTCATTTAATTTTCGGTCTTTTTCTTCTACTTCTTTCTTTATACATTTTTTTTTCCTTATTATGCTTTTATTCTCTCATTTTTCTTAATGTTATTGCGTTTTCACGCTATTCTTTCTTTCGTTGTTATACAAGAAAAGAAAGAAAGAAAAAAAGAATAAATAAATGGAAATATGTAAATGAGAAGAAATGCAAAATGAGAAAGAAATAAAAATAAAGAAAGAATAAAGTGATAAATGGAAATATGTAGATGATAAAATCAAGAGAGAAACGAAAACATTTTGCTGAGAAGAAATACTAGGAAAGAAACAAAAGAAAGATTTTATAAATGGAACTATATAGATGAGAAAAAAGAAAGAAAGAATGAATGAATGAATGCATGGAACTATATAGATAAGAAAGAAAGAAAGAAAGAAAGAAAGAAAGAAAGAAAGAAAGAAAGAAAGAATGAATGGAACTATATAGATGAGAAAAATGAAAGAAAGAATGAATGAAACTATACAGATGAGAAGAAAGAAAGAAAGAAAGAAAGAATGAATGAATGAATAAATGGAACTATATAGATGAGAAGAAAGAAAAAAGAAAGAAAGAAAGAAAGAAAGAAAGAAAGAAAGAAAAAAGAATGGAACTATATAGATGAGAAAAAAAGAAAGAAAGAATGAATGAAACTATACAGATGAGAAGAAAGAAAGAATGAATGAATGAATGAATGAATGAATGAATAGAACTATATAGATGAGAAGAAGAATGAAGGAAGGAATGGAACTACATTGATGAGAAGGAAGGAAGAAAGAATGAATGAATGCATGGAACTATATAGATAAGAAAGAAAGAAAGAAAGAAAGAAAGAAAGAAAGAATGAATGGAACTATATAGATGAGAAAAATGAAAGAAAGAATGAATGAAACTATACAGATGAGAAGAAAGAAAGAAAGAAAGAAAGAATGAATGAATGAATGCATGGAACTATATAGATGAGAAGAAAGAAAGAAAGAAAGAAAGAAAGAAAGAAAGAAAGAAAGAAAGAAAGAATGGAACTATATAGATGAGAAAAAAGAAAGAAAGAATGAATGAAACTATACAGATGAGAAGAAAGAAAGAATGAATGAATGAATGAATGAGTGAATGAATAGAACTATATAGATGAGAAGAAAGAATGAAGGAAGGAATGGAACTACATTGATGAGAAGGAAGGAAGAAAGAATGAATGAATGCATGGAACTATATAAATGAGAAGGAAGAAAGAAAGAAAGAAAGAATGAATGAATGAATGGAACTATATCGATTAGAAGAAAGAATAAATGAATGAATGAACGAATGGAAATATTTAGATGAGACGAAAGAAAGAAATATCTAAAGGAGAAGAACTAAAACATGAAACAGAAAAAAATAAATACAAGTTCAAAAACTCAAGAAACACCATTTGTTCTTTTGCCCGACGGTAAGAGAAGCAAGTTGAAAGTGGAGACCGGTGAAATAACTACCGAATCCTGAGTGACATTGCTCTCGGCGATTTCGTCTGCTTGAAAAAACTTAGGACTGTCAATGGAGGCAGGCGTTTGGTTGGAGATACGTCGATTTCAATCAAAGTCTGCACACTATACCGTTTGTTCTCTGAACAATTGTAGTTATCACTTAACCCAATGGGGGACTTTCATCACCAAACGCGATTAAAATGCTTTCGGTGATCTCAAATAGACCAGTATCATTAACTGGTAAATTGGTCGAATACTGGACAGAAGAGGTTCTGAATATATATATATATATATATATATATATATATATATATATATATATATATATATATATATAATTATTTAAAAAAAAATTATAACATAAATATGATATAAAATCACTACAAAAATAGCCATTTTGTTTAAACACCCCCGGTGTCTTATCAAGTGATGATGTTGAATGCAAAATAAATGATTTTAAAAATTTCAAATTAATTAACGATCCTTCGCAAGGAGAAAACGCTGTTACGAAAGCTAGAATGACCAATAAAAATACAAGTATTAGGAAAATTCAAAAAGCTTGACAACGGAGCTATTCAAATCTTTAGAATACGGCTAATATTAAAAAAGAATTTACTCTAACCAACAATTACTAAATTCTCTGATAAAATTTGATATTAAAATTAAAAACTGCCAATTTTAAAATCCAAATTTAAAAATTATTAATTTTAAAAATTATAAAATTACTGAGGAGAAAAGAAGAAATACATATGTTATTCAATTTATTTCTTCGTTGAAATTACGTTAGAACAGACGCTACTTCATCCGGTCATCCGACAATATATATGTATACATTTTAATCCCAAGTGTGTGAATGGGGTCCTAAACTCACGCGTAAAACAACAAAAACACATTCAGATTATAATACATAAGCAACCAGACATATTTAGATATATATATATACACACAAAAAAGTGACGAGACAGGGAACATCTCCACGGCCCTTTATGAAAAAAAAAGAGGGGGAAAACCAACAGCTACATACATACACAATTAAAAGTGAATGCACTTTCCATACACATAGACACCGATAAATACATGTACACACATCCACAGACATTGTCCTAGACAATCAGATACCACAACCAATAAATAAATACTTAAGACTGAAATATTTAAGACGAGGGCAGCTAATTTCGTTTTACGAGCGCACGCTTCGGCTTGGGTGGTTAGTCAATCCCTTTCATGAACATCTGAAAGATGTCATTTAAATATATGCTTATTTTTGTGATGTCAATGAATACTCGTTGTCATTTTCGTAATGCTTGTTATAGTAGAGACTTTGTAATCGTAGATACAACTATAGTAACGCTGTTTAACAATACTCGTGTCAGACGCCTTCGAATAGTACTCACACTGATAGTACTTGCTCGATAATACTCGCTCGAATAGTAATCAGTATAGTGAGCCGAATAGAGAAATAGTATAATGAATATAGTAGAAAATAGCGGTCCGTATAGTATAGAGGATAGATTAGAAATAGCGATCCGAATAGTAATAGAGGATAGAATAGAAATAGCTATCAATTAGACGTCACGCTACTTTCTATATGTACGATTACTTTATGCTCATGTGGTCTAATTAATTCAATAATGGGATTGCCTGTGTTTGCTGACTGGCGATCTATGTTCAAACTCAAGTGTTGGCAGCGACACTTTATTACTATATAACAAAAGAAAAGAGTACTGAACTGTCAATGAATAGATTAAGAGGAGACATGAGGAGACAGAAACGTGGTTCTACAGAAACTGGACGTGTGAGCCATGACGGGGTGTAAGCGAAAATGGGAACAAAAAGGAAACTAGCATCAGGACGAAGCAGTTAAATAACGAGGAAAGAGGGCTTGTAAAATCTGATACTCACAAGACAGATTGAAGGTAAGCTGGACAAAGAAAGAACAATGCATAAGATACTTAATTATCTTGAGTAAATGGATGGTGGAACCGGGTTGAGGAGAAACAACGAAAAACTATCTACTAACAGATACAAATGACAGGAAATTATGGAGAGCTATAATCACGTTCGTCCTAAAATAATATAGCAAATGAAAAATAAGAAGTCTCTTCAGAATTAGGTAATCATAGCTATTCACACATTCATTTTATTTCTTATATGTGAATTACCTGTGCTCTATTTGGGTAAAGATAGTGGTGTAGATTTTCGATAACTTCCCGTTTTCTGTATTCTCGTAAACTTAAACTCCTCTAAAAAGAAGGAGTTATCCTTTATTCAGATTATTGCCATCTAAACTTAGAGAGCGTAGTCTATATTAATATTTAACTTCTAGCCGGGGGCCGGACAAAGGGTTGTATTCCTACCTTTCCCAAGGGCATTTGTTCAAGAAGCGTCCACTAGGATTTTCCATGTGGTTAATTGCACTACCAACAAATCGTATTTTACATTATTTTAATTGAAATGGACATGCTTTTACAAGAGTTGAACGAAAATTAAAAGATAATTAACTGTTAGATGTTAAGAATTAATTCAAGCATTACGCAGAAAGTGAAGAAATTTGCATATTGCAAATACATTGTTTATGCTTTCCCTATAAAACCCAGATTGGTAGCGCATGCTAGGCTCCCAGATATGGACAAATAGTGAGCCCCAAACCTGGGGTCAAAACACTATGAAATTATAAAAATTCCAGAAATAAATATTAATAGTAAAAAAATATTACAGTGATAAATTTTAGCAGTAAATATAAAGATTACCAAAGATCCCAAGGAAATTAAATTCCCGCATTAAATGACCCATAAGAAGTCGATATACCGAAAAAAAAAAAACAACTAAACTACAGGTATGCATTAAAAATCAACGGGGGAGTAATTATAAATTGTCAGAAATTAAAGTAAGCATTCTTCATTTACGTGACCTGTTCCTTCACAACGTGTGCGATTATAACTCTCCACAACTTCCAGTCTATTAGTCCTGTAAGTTAGCTTTGGCCCCTTAACGTCCATCTTTGCCATTGTTTTGTCAAAACTCAAACAAGTCCTCTAGTTTTCCTGCTTTCTTTTTTTATATCAATATTCACTCTTTATTAGGTCAAAGAGCCACCCGAGGTAGAGTGTTACAGAGTACGAAGCAGAGTTTATAGTGTTACGTGGGGAGATAACGGTTAACCCTAGACATAAACAGGTTAAGCTTATAGTCAGAAACTTCCTCTTAGGAGTGTGTTACACAAAACAGCGTTAATGGGGAAAAGATGAACTTACATCTCACCAGTGAACTACGAAGAGAATGAAAACATAAAAATATTGCTTTGTTGAAACTAATTCCATTTCTTTTGCCTCTACAAGTAATGACAACACTTCATTTGTGTAAATTTTGTTTGCCACTGCTTTTAGTCGAAATAGAAGCTGATATACAACAAGATAATCTTAAAATACTGCTGATGACAATTGATGGATTCTTCAGATATTAATATGTTCATGGTGTGTCATAAATTTGAGGACAGTTTCAAGGCTCCGTTTAAAAAAAATATTCTTTGATAGCAGTTTATTTTTTCGTGTTTACCAACCGGTTTCATATAATTTCATTATACTCTGTCTTTAAATAACACTGGCCTCAACTGAAAATTTCAAAAGCCTTAAGTTCTATTGGTAGAACAATGGACCGTATTTGTGGGGTGTTTTCTTTTTTAAAAAAGCTGCTTACAAAGACTACGTCCGTTCCTTGAGTCATTTTTCTGTGTTGCCAGATTTTGATAATATCTTCTCCATCTAAAAAATTCTGATTCTTTTCTTTTTCTTCTTTTATTCATATACTTCTTTCGTTTTTTTTTCTTTCTTTCTTTTTTTTTTAAAAAGTCGACACCATTTTCAAATCCGTTTCTTCTCTTTCCGAATCACGATTACGGTTATTGGAACGCGAGGAACAATACCCGACACGGCGTCATTTTTCCCGCCTTTGCAGTGCAGCAGACATCAAAGCTAACCGACAGCTTTGATCTAGCTCTGCTCGCCAGCGGTTACTTCACAATAAAAGTATACAATGTCTACTGTTTCGGTCAAGCGACGTTAAGAGTAACTTGCAATCTGGATGGATCACAAAGTTCATGAAAATACACTGTTAGAAATAAGACAGCAATTCTTGTGAATCTTAAAGAAACAAAGAAACTAGACAAAATATCGTATACGATTAAATTTCACATATAAATATGTACACACAAGCACGTAAGTATATTTCACTGTATATTGGCTTTGTGCAATGATTAAATGAAAATGCAGTGTTGAAAAATAAAACAAAAACCTTTATATAACACAATATTATAATACAGTACGATAAGGTGAAAGTTTCAGCAGTTCAAATGTAAAAAAACAAAAAAACACCGATTACATACAAGAAACGTATTCGGTGTATGAGGGTCAAGCAGTTCAGTTCCTAGAAACCAGCTACCAGCACATTCGGTTATAGTGGTGAAGGCTTTGTGCACAACCAACCACATTTTTTGAAGGGCCGAATACAGAGACCTGGTACACTACATGCCACAAGGTGCACAAACAACCCTCAGTAGGTTTTGAACTCAGGGTTGTCCTTCTCTTAGACCAGTTGCCATCCAAGGCTATAGAACCCAGTCTGTCCTGCTACCCATAGCTAGAGGGAGAAAAGGAGGATTAATACCTTTTCCATGGGTATTAGCAAGTAAGTGAATGGAATGGATTCGACCTGGGCCGTTATTCCCCCACTCCAATGAAATTATTGAAAAAAAATGACCATTTTTTTCAATAATTTATTTGTGCTATCGACGTTGAATATTAGTAACATATACTTATAGTTCTATCTCATAACATTGACCACTGTATTTATAACACCTGCAAAATAAATATTTTTTATACGTACGTGTAATCTTATGTACGTGTATGTATATTTTTATCACACACACACACACACACACACACACTCACACACACACACACACTCACTCACACACACTCACACACACACACATATATATATATATATAGGTAACTCCATGAGATCGCTA